GAATATTTTTTCTTCTCTCTTTCATATGTAAGCCAAATCAGGATATTTTCTAAAATATATACATAACCAGGTCCGAATATTATTGTTTAAATGCAGTATAGTGAATTATATTCCTTGTTCAAATTAGAAATATGAAAATAGTTCTTAAAAACATTGCTTATCTTGTTAATGAAATGTTTTTAAGAGAAATGCATACATTTAAATGACTCTTGAAGTATAGAATAATAAATTGCCATGTTATTAATGGTAGTTTTGTAATAAAACACAAAGTAACAAGAAATACAATTTAAAGATGAAACAAATAGTATTTGGACATACAATTTATATGACTTCTTTCTCTGTTTCTAATAATTTGGATTAAACCCAACAGTATATATTCTTTCCTTTATTAGCTATTAAACTATTACACTCCACACAATACATATATTTCTCTGAACATGTTTTTAACAGTGTTTTAATTCAGTAGAAACAGTCAATGAAATAGCATGTTTTACATATTTTATTTCAAGGTCAATTCAGTACCTTTGCCCAACAGATATCACTGGTATTAGGCCATTTGATAAAGACATCTTTTTCCTGTCCTCTTGTAAATGCAGGGTAAGGCTTCGTTTCATTTCCTGAAATTGCTGGATCCTAAATTGAAATGAAATACAAATCCCATTACTATGGAATAAAACCAGGGCCTCTTGGGTAGTTGTTATGAAACATTGGAATTTTCTATTACCACATTATCATTATACTGTGCTCTCATAGACATGGACTAAGAAATGGACTGATGATATAAACTTTATTGTTCTAGCTATGTTCTCTTCTAAATTCCTTAGGAAAAAAAGTAAGAACTTTGAGAATATATTTGCTACGATTTCAAGCAAGATTATTAGAGTTTTTCTTTTGTCTTTATTTTCCCAGAGGGATTTCTGGCCGCTTAGCATACTTCTTGTGAGATATGGATAAAATATGCTCCCCACTGAATCACTAAGTTGGAGGCAAAATTTCAAACATGAGAAAAGTAAGATGCAGTCCTAGAGAATGATTCGGGAGATGTATAGGAAGAAAAAAAATACATCATCACTTTGAGATAGCTTCTATACATTGAGGCCAGTTTACAGCATGAGTGATTACTAAAATCCAGCTAGCTTTTGACTCCCAGCTTTAGTCTTAGGTCTCTAAAGATATACCAAGTATTAGGTATTCTGTAGCAGCCCATGTACATAAAATGAAGTGTTAAAGGAAGAAAGTTGTAGATTTGGGAGTAGAATCAAACTTATATAATTCCTATTTTGAAACACCTCCCATATCCTTATATCTAGGAGAAAAAAATCTTAATAAAAGAAAGGTAATAAGACTCAGAAAAAATATAACTATAAATACAGACCAGGATAATAATGTATTTCATTCCTTCACTTCTTATTTTGTCAACAAACTGAGGAAGGTCACGGAAGTCGTCACCAATTGTGAAGTCTAGTTGCCTTTCCATGTAATCAATGTCTGTGTATTGTACATCCTGAAAAATATGAGAATTGCGGTAGTGGGGCAAGAATCACAAGCGTGAGTGTATCACATTTTATCATACTTATGAAAACACTACCAATATTAAAGTTTCAGTGCCTCTTCACTCGATTAGAAAGAGAATTAATCAGGTAATGCAATACTCAGGAATAAAAGTAATATGTAAGGACACCAAATATTCTAAGAACAAGGTCACATAAATGTTTTGTTTTGTTAACAGTCCATTTTATAATTTTGACTTAGAAGTCAAAATTCTTTCGAATCAGTATCTTTTATCATGTAATTCCCAGAGGAAACAGGAATGCACAGAAGTAAAGGATTTATGACATTATAAAATTATGTTAAATGGCAATTTGGAATTTGTATAATGTATACAGAAATAGGCATTGCACTATTTCTGGAAAAATAATGCAAATGTAGGGTAATTTCAAATAATTTTAATATTTCCAAAGAGGAAGAAAGAGTTACTAGTAAATCCATTAAATTGTGTAAGATTTTTTCTTCTTTTTTTAATCAACAAAGTCAATTTTGAAATAATAGCCCAAGCTAATATAAGCAAAACTATGCCTTGAAATAGGTATTTGCAGATATGTTTAAACTAATAAATGTTTGAATGTTATCATGAAATTTTTAATTAGGTCTAAATAACAAATTTGTTAATTATTTTCTGTTAATAGAAATTAGCTTGATTTTCTTCTAGTTGCTATAAAATATATGGAAAATATAGTGGATGGCTCTCTTTATTTAAAAAAAATGGGAAAAATCTCCTTTTCTTTATAAAAAAAACTCCCACCTGCACATTTCTATCTCATCCATTATATAGCTAATGTCCCCATAATAATATGTTCAGGAACTAGATATTGAATTGTACTATATGCACTCATGTCTTATAATAAGGTCCTTCTCATTCTTCTTAGAATGAGTCCTTACATACAAATAGCACTCTAGATTCCCATGCTTATGTGTTACCATGAGATCTCCAGGATTCCTGACCACTAAAATATAAAATTACAGGGACCGATTACTTCTGGATACTTAGGAATATTTATTTTCCCAAACATTGAGAGATAAGGATATTCTGCCAGCCCTCTAATTCTGTATTCTAACATTACAAGTATCATCTGTTTCAGGGCAAAAAGCACAGTTTTTCTTCCAATTTCTTCCCTGTAATTTCTCACATTAGTTGATGGAATAAATCTGTGGACCCTTCCTCTCATCTAAAGAGAGAATATGGGGAATGTGTCTGACTATCTCTGAGACCCAGTGTTGATGAGAGAGATACAAATGCACAGTGACTTGTTTAATACAACTCTGGGGCATGGAATTGGAGGGAAAAAATAGAAAAAGAAATGATATTATTACATTTCCTTTATCCTAATAAATATTCCTAATAAAGATTTTACATTTTCTAAAAATGTTATTTCCAATTTATTAGGTGCTACTAAAAACTAAGCCTTGATTATTGCCAAATGTTAAAAATAATTTTAAAACACATGTGTTTAATTATTTCATTATGATTTTCTACAAGACATATTTAACACAGTCTTAAAAGTTTATGTACATACATAGGGGATCTGAGCAGCTGCCATGTTTTCATATACTTCCTGAACCTCCGAAGTATTTTTGTAGCCATAACGACATAATTGGAATCCCAAAGCCCAATAAGGTGGCATGACTGGTCGGCCAATTACCTTTAAAAACAAAAATCATTTGTGAACTAAGAGAATTACTTATGGAGAGAAATGTATGTGTTTTTTTTTTCTAAAAACAAACTCAATCATACTTCATGGAATTGCTTTGTTGCAACTTCTGGAGTTGGGCCCAAAAACATGTAAAAGTCCAAAATTCCTCCAATTGTGCGGTAAGTTAGAGCAGGAGTTGGCTGAAATGTCACATCTGGAAATTCAAAACATGATTACACTGCTATCTATATACAAAATATTATTTATTAAAAGTCACATAACAGAGCCTGAGTAGGTGCGTGAGCTCACCACACTCCACATGAGAAATCTTAAATATGATGGTTTACCCATTGCATTGCTGTTAAGAAAGAACACTCCATGAGCATTGTCCTCATCTTCCAGAGCCATGTGATAGGGATGAAATCCATAGGAATTTAATTTATACTAAAAAAATAAAGATAACATATATTCAGATGATAAGACCATGTAAAGTGTGTTGCTGTAATATTTAAATTCATTCTAAGAGTGAGCCTAGGAAGTTAAATGTTACTGCCTCGCACATACAAACTGAATTAACCACATTTCCCTTAGAAATTAATTTTGTTCATTATTAGAACTATGTTTGCTTTAGATCATGCAAATAAATATACAGATATGTAACACCCACGAAACTCTCATATTGACATAAAAATCCATTGGAATTAGAGTAATTAGGTTTCTTTCTACAGATTTTATATGTTAATTATTTTATAAAGTTGCACTTCTTTTTCAATAATTTATTTCCATAAAAATGATTAAACTACTCAACCTCTTAAGTAATTAATCTGATCTTGTTTAGGCACCTAACAATAAAACTCTAGCTAAAAGATGTAATTAACATTCGCTTTAAGTAAGCATCACATGTGGCACATGGAAATAAGCTAGTATTTCATAAAAAAATGTATTTTTTCATGATATGTCTAAAATAATTGAGGAGATAGAAGGGCTAGGCAGTCAGAGATGGGACCGTGGGAGAGGGAGAAGAGTGAGGAAGTCCTAGAACAGCGGTTCTCAACCTGTGGGTAGCAACCCCTTTGGGGGTCTAACGACCCTTTCACAGGGGTCACCTAAGACCATTGGAAAACACATATATAATTACATATTGTTTTTGTGATTAATCACTATGTTTTAATTATGTTCAATTTGTAACAGTGAAATTGGGGGTCACCACAATATGAGGAACTGTATTAAAGGGTCGCGGCATTAGGAAGGTTGAGAACCACTGTCCTCGAATAATAGGACCTTGAAGACAGGGACAGGATACAGCTTGTTGACGGCACCACAGAGTCAAACAAAAGGACCTAGAACTGAACCCAGCTCAGGCAACCCAGCTGGGTGGGGAAAGAGGGGTGCCAGTGAGACGTGAACTTTAACATGTATGGATGTTGCTAAGACAGACAGCTTGCAGATAACTAATCACAAGGCAGTGAGGCGTATGACCAATCCTAAGTATGTTACTAAGGCAGAATTCTTTGAAAGGACCAATCAGGAGCTAACAAGGCATGTATCTACCACTCATTAATCTACCACTAAACAAAAAAAGCCCCCCCCCTCTCTCTTCCTGCCTCTCCTGTGGCAGTGGATGTGCTCCCCTGTGCCCACCAGGCTCATGGCCATGTGGGACTCAGCACATGGACTAATGGATTTTAATTAGCTTGGATGCTGAACTACACATGGCTGCAACATGGAACGCAAGCTCTGTACACTGGCCCGCTTTTGGAACCCCAGCAGCACCTTCCCAGGACTGGCTTGGGGGACATGGGACTTTGGACCCTGAGACAAAGAAGCTTCATCGGTAACCTGCTTTGGGCCCTCTTTCTCTGTTCCATGCTTCGGGGAGTCTGTCTTTGTCTCAATAAACTTTGCTTCCACCGACTGTTTTTGTCCACAAACTCATTTTTCAATTTTGTGAGGCAACGAACTTGGACCCGAACACCACATTTTGGTTTCATAATTATAGCTGATATTAGTTCTGCAGTGCATTAAATATTCATGATGTGTATTTAATTAATAAGTTGAACATTGGGAAAAGTGACATGAGCTTATAAAAACATTTTTTAAAGATGTAACTAGCAGTACAGACTCATAAAATGCACAACTGCAGCTGTGTGTCATACAGGGAAAAGTTGGCATCAAATCATTCTCTAAGAAGTAAAAGAAAAAAGTTAAAGAGAACTATTCAGTTACTTTCTAAAAGCTGAGAGTAAACATGGATTTGGCAGGGAATGCTGAATCTTAATGCTCTTTCTCTGCATTTGAGATAATGAATTGGGACACTACCTCATCTCTCACTGTATTCAATGTTATCCAACTAATCTTCTACTTTTGCCAGCAATTGATGGTGACTTCTTTGTTTGTTTTTCAGAAAACCATTTTAGCAACTCTGAAGATCTCCAGCGTCTCTGTCATTACTTCAATACCAAAGTACTAGTACAGTCCTACATAGAAGTGGCTGGGATCCTAATCATGGTCTTAGATGCCTCATGAGATAGCTGAAAATTGATACCTACACCAGGGGGTTGGTCTCTTGTGAACATTCCCCAAGTGTTCCAGTTTAGATCTCGCTTAAACGCTGTGTGTTCCGCTTCCCCAAAACCATATATATATTCTGATGGCAGGCGAGTAGATATTTGAATGAACTGGTCATTAAAAGTAAATCCAGGTAGGCGAGAATCCCAACTGAAAACAAAAGAAAACAATTCTATTTCTGTAAACATTTACAAAATAGTATCACAAATAACAATGGTGATTCTTCCTTGGGTGAGCTGAAAATCAATAATATTCTCTCTATATTCTTTATTGTAAGCAGATACCAAATGGTAATAGATAATTATTCCAAAATATATTTATTTTGACTAAGTTAAGGAATACCTCAAATATATTTCACATATTCAGCATTATTAATACAGTGAACCATAATCTGATTAATGTGACTATTTCTCTTTATTTTATTTTTTAATATATTTTATTGATTGTTTTACAGAGAGGAAGGGAGAGGAATAGAGAGTTAGAAACAATGATGAGAGAGAAACATCGATCAGCTGCCTTCTGCACACTCCCTACTAGGGATGTGCCCGCAACCAAGGTACATGCCCTTGATCAAAATCAAACCTGGGACCCTTCAGTCAGCAGGCCGATGCTCTATCCACTGAGCCAAACCGGTTAGGGCTATATTTATCTTGCTTTTAAAAATAAATATATTGCTTTTAAAAATCAAATTAATATGAAGTTATAAATAATATATGATATAGAAGTAAGATAGGTCCTAGAAACCTGTTACCTTCAGATAGCCCAGTAATGTTTTTTCTACATACAGAATAAAAAAAATCAATATTTCTACATATAGAATAAAAAGATATCAAAACTATAAGGCATAATTGATATTTTAATTTAAAATTCTCCCTATTTTTACTTCCAATAATTTTCTTTTTTGTATTTATAAAAATCAGTGTTTTAAAAAATATCCATAAGAAATGTGTTGCAGTGAATGTATTGTTTTTCTAGTCATTTGCAAGAACATAAAAGAGGAGGAAAATAATTAGGATTGGCCGTGTAAGAAAATATAAGTATTACAAAGAGTTTGGGGCATTTTTCATTTTTATATTAATTATGAAAAAGTATTTACTAAGTAATAATGATTCTCAAATAATGATAAGTATAACTTTGCACCAGGACTTTTTTACAAAATGGCTGAGTTTGTTAACCTTTGGAACAAAATTATTCTCATAATTTTTTTTAATACAGATATACTTTTCTTTATTATTTGTATCCATTGTGAAAACATCTGGTCAACATTTTCTCAGAGATAGCATGGGAAGTTTAAATTACATTAAAGTATCTTTTAATATATTATAATTCTCTACAAATAGAGAATTTCACACACAAAAAACCAAAACTTTTTTCTTTAATTTATTCATTATGATATAAAAATATCTAGATGCATGTATATTAATTTTCTTTCATTAGTGCCAAGCAGAAATAGCATTAACTCAATCAAATTCCAGGACCATTAAACTTTGATTACAAAAGTCTAATAAAATATTTACATAACAAATTTCCAGTTACTTATTTTGCTAAAACTCATCATGATTTTCAAGAGGAGTCTTGGTTTGGTTCTCAACTTGCTTTGAAAAATAAGTCTTAATATGTAATAATAAAATCAATCACATCCAAAGTGTAAATAACATTTTAGGCAATCCTTAATGATAGTCCTATTATGTTCTAATTGTTTAAGTTAAAAATGTTATGCCTTAACCAGTTTGTCTCAGTGGATAGAGCTTCGGGCTGCTGACTGAAGGGTCCCAGGTTCTATTCCAGTCAAGAGCATGTACCGTGGTTGTGGGCACATCCCCAGTAGGAGGTGTGCAGGAGGCAGCTGATCGATGTTTCTCTCTCATCGATGTTTCTAACTCTCTATCCCTCTCCCTTTCTCTTTGTAAAAAATCAGTAAAACATTTTTAAAAAATGTTAAAGTAAGTCAAGTTATTTAATATGACTAATACCATTTTTAATATGATGATACTCTAGCACAGTGAAGGCTGTGAAAATAATCATCTTTCTTTTCCTAGGATAAAATCAAGATATTGTTCATTTCAAATAATTCAATCACTTACATAACTCTTCCTGTGCTTCTTCGTCGAATCAGGATGCCAAAAGGATTTTCCTGGATTTCAACATCATAAAGTCTATTTTCATAAGTACTTGTTGGCGTGGTTGGAATGTTTAATGGTACTGGGACTTCATATCTCTTACTTTTCGGGTCATAAATCTATTGCAGATAATAATAAAAATAGAAAAGTTTTGCTCTAGTTTGGTGAGATGTCATGTAAATATTAAAATAATTAAACGATGGTTCAAACAAGAATATATATATATATTGCTTACTTATATAATTCTTAATTCTGTATCCATGGCCCATATGTGTGTGTGTGTGTGTGTGTGTGTGTGTGTGTGTGTGTGTGTATTCCAAAAAAAGTATACACACAATCCAGTTTTAAAAAATGAGCAAAAGACCTGAAGACACTACTCCAAAGAGGACATACAGATGGCCAGTAGACATATGACAAAATGCTCAAAGGTCCCCTTGATATCTATTTGTAAAGTGTTTACCAGAATTAGTGTACTAATTAATATTCTCACCAAAATGTGTGCTCTAATACTGTTTTATGGTATGTTAAAAGTGTTTGTGTTCTAAATTGTCCTTTATTTCCTTGATAATGTTGACCAACGTTTTTCCACGTGATTATTCAACATTGAGATTTCCCATCCTTTGAATTTGTCTTTTATTCTTCTGGTCAATGAGTATGAGTGTTATAATATTTTTATTCCCAATTATTATTTCTTCTTCTGTTATATGCTTGTTTTTAGATCTTGAGATGTTTTTCTTGTTTGTATAAGTTGAAATTGCTTGCTTTTTATGACCATTCAACATTGAGATTTCCCATCCTTTGAATTTGCTTTTATTCTTCTGGTCAATGAGTATGAGTATTATAATATTTTTATTCCCAATTATTATTTTTTCTTCTGTTATATGCTTGCTTTTAGTTCTTGAGATATTTTTCTTGTTTTTATAAGTTGAAATTGCTTGCTTTTTATGACCAAGGTGTCAGATATTTATCCATTTTTTATTTGTCTGAGCTTATGTTTGAATTAGTTAATGTATGTATGTATATATGTATGTATGTGTGTGTATATATATATACATATATATATCCAATCCCATATACATACATGAACAGATAATGAGATCAAATTACCTACTGTATTTTATGCTTTTTTAAGTTTTGCAACTTTTTTTCTACATAATGATAAATCATCAAACATATATATGGCTAATATGCAAAGTATCCCCTTGGGAGTTCAACCGGGAGACTGGGAATTCAAATGCTCACTATGATGTGTGCTGAAAACCCACCAGGGGGTGTCATGGAACAAAGGAAGGCCCCGGCTGGCAGCTGGCAGCCAGAAGGAAGGCCCCAGCAGGCAACCAGAAGGCCCCGATTAGCCCTGATCTCTGGCCAGGCCTAGGGACCCTACCTGTGCATGAATTTCTTGCACCGGGCCTCTAGTACATATATATTAAACATGTATATCATTATATGTTATAATATACACACACATACAGTTATATTTTGTGTCATCACTTTGTGATAAACTGTGAAGTTATTCAAACTGCAATTATGCTGTTTTCATTTTATAAATGTTATCTATTTTTTTTTAGATAAACTTTAAATATTGTCATTGCCATATGTTTACTTTTCCAGGTAAATATAAAGGTTTTTTTTTTTATTAAGTTTCCAATAATATTCCATTGAGATTTCTATGAAAACTATTTAAAAGCATCAATTGATAAAAATGAGTTAACTTTTTAAAAATTTAGTCTCAGGATTTCTCAGTACTTATTTAATATCTATCAACACTTTTTAATAGTTATTTTTCTTATAGACAGTCAACTCACTTCTATGATTTAAATATTTTTAGTATTCATATGACTGTTCTTCTCCTTTGATTTTACTAATTGGATTTGTCACCATTTCAATTTCTAGATGGTGAATGATAGTGTACAATAAAACATTTTTTGAAAACACATTTTATGTACAGTCATTTTGCTGATCTTATAATTTGTAATAGTGTTATTGTTTTTAATGGATTTTTTAGATGTCTTAAGTAAAAAATATATACATATAAGTGTAACTTTTGAAAGAAATTTGTATGTTTTTGTATGTCTTAAGGCATTATTCAGAAAATTTAGATAACTGTGTAAAATAATGGAAATAGTAAGCATCCTGTCTTGCTTTTTTGTATTTTGCTTATTTTAATGATATTAGCAACATAGTGCATTCTAAGTGATTTCTCCATGGCCCATATATATGTACAATATATATAGCCAATTTATATATTTTAAAGGCTAAGCGACCATTCAACCGGCTGGTAGGACCCGGAACCAGAGAGGAGGGCTCCCGATTCCTCGCAGGGCCATGGGGTTCCACCTTTGGCCATGGGTTATGTTGTTGGGACACTGTCAGCCCTGAGTCCAGTCTACCGCACACTCGCATTTGTTGTCCACACTGTGTAGCCATGGGTTATGTTGTTGGGACACTGTCAGCCCCGAATCCAGTCTACCACACACTCGCATTTGTGTTCCACACTCCGTACAACAGCAACTTTGCAGACTGCCCTCTCGCACTCAGGGACCCCTCGGGGGATGTCAGTTTTGGCCTGATTCTCACAGGCCAGACTGATGGACCCCACCTGCCAGAGGGACCCCACTCACTCCACAGATGCCCTTCGAGCCCTGGTGCTGCCTAAGGCGCAGCTGGCTGGGGAGGGACCACACCACGGGAGGTGGGCTCCAGGGCGTGTCTGGCCCATCTCACCCAGTTCTGCTCTGCTGGCAACCTTTTGGGGAGGGACCACGGGAGGTTGGCTCCAGGGCTCGTCTGACCCATCTCACCCAGTTCTGCTCTGCTGGCC